AAATCTTCCTAAGTCCTTGCAAAGGATTTTCAGTGCATTATGTAACAGAAATGGATTTTCTTCTCAAGTCTGGATCTCAATATATTCCTAAATAAAATGTTATACAGTTGAGTTGGAGATGCGTTGCGTTTCCATTGACAAGATAGGCGAAAGAAACTAAAGCGTGAATGTTTTTAGATTTGCCCATCAGCAGTCAATTGTTCTGAATGCAGCGCTCTGTAGTGCAAGCAGCAAACAGCTTTGGGGACTGGATCTGTGTGCAGCAACTGAATACGAAAAAGCACAGTAGTGTGATTTGATGACACTATTACGGTTTGCTACAAGATGTTGAGGTTCCCTGAAAATTTCTCAGTCTTTAAGTTGGAGTGACTTAAATACATGCTTTCTCTTTCTAAAATAATTACCATTTGATATTATACTCCAGAGTATGAATTAAATTACAGATAAAAAGTCTTCTGCCTGAAGAGAAAGGATGTCACCGAACAGAGCAACATTAAATCTGAAACTCTATGGTAAAATAATAGAAGAAAGAGAAATGCTGACAGGGGCAATGCTTTTGCTCAGGCTACAAACAAAATGCAGCGGCAGAAAAAGACAGACAGAGCCGGTTTTACACGATGCAGAAGCCTGATTCCAGATGCTTCTTGTTGGTGCTGGGCTTGTAACTGAGAGAAAGTTTTCAGTTTACTATCTGTCATATTACAAGAATAAAATTCCTAGAGCTTCCCAGAAGCTCAAACCACTGGCCTCCTTGTGAGATTGGGTCTGTTTTGTTTGTTTAATGTGTAGCTCCATTTTAATCAGCCCTATTATTTGACCTTGGCCACAACGTAGCATTTTTCATCATATCCTAACTTTGCACACAGGAAGTGTCTCCCAGGAAAGATGCTACTAATTGATGTCATCCTGCAGGCGCTTTGTCTGCAAAACAGGTCTGTGCCATGCAAATAGTTACAAGTAGTAGTCCTAATAATGTTAAAAGGAAAGCCTTGTGATCACACAATAAACCTTGTGAAAGAAATTGTGGGTGTGATAGGAAAATATGCTAGTTGACCAGACTCCCAGCCGTATTCTCACATGATCTGACTGCATTCCTGTCTACCAAACAGTATTTTTGGCTCCTGGGCTTTAACCTATTTAACATATAAAACTCTGTTTCTTTGAATGTGCTTGCCAACCTACTCTAATTAGCTTATATTAAAACCGTAGGCTAGACGTGGGATGTTGATGGTATCATATTATAAAGCAGTCAAGTTGTAAAACCAGAGATGGATGCTGGCAGAAGGTTCTCTGCCGTTTCTACCCCAGTGGTTTTGGATATCTTGCATATTATAAGAGTAATCTTTTAAGTTAAAACTGAGACAAAGCCTGCTAAAGCTAAGCAGAAGCAGAAAAGGGCAGGTCACTCTGTCTTGTCCTCACTTGGAGACCCGAGTCTGAGCATATTTTTTTTTTCCATTCCAGAAGGAATGAGTGGAGCACATGATGGAAGATATGACCTTCTAATTTGCCCTGCAATATTCAGGATGTTGCTGTTGACTACAGCCACTCCATTAAGGAGCCCTGAAAGCAAATACTTCATTTAGCCTACCAGCCATTGTGCTGCGTTTGAACCTTTTTAAGCTCGTTGTACGTGCAACTCCTAAACAAAGTTGCTATTTAAGGCTGGTGCTCGCACAGGATACTGCTTGTCACTGTACCGATGAAACCTCAATCACTCAAAAGAGCTTACAGGATGGCTGCAACATAGCTGACGCGTCTTTCCCAAAATATTCAGAACTGATTTGCTTTTCCTGTCTGTGTGCTTAATTTTTAATATTATTGTCTCTTTTGTGCCAAGGGTTTGTTGCGGGGGGTGGGTGGTGGTGGTTTGATTTCGTATTTCTCATATTTCTATAACATTGCAAATAATACAATCAAGCTTATACATCCTGTTTCTTCAAAAATTACTTTTAGAATAATTTCCCAGAATGCCGCTGCAGAGATTGTTCTTGGTTGAATGTTTATGAGGTATCTTACTTTCACAAATTTTGTTCTAGAAAAAACAAGTCTGCTACTGGAGAAGACCATACTGGGTAAGAATGACTTTCTTTAGGAAAGGATGATGATGTATGGGGATAAAAAAAGTTAACAGAACTCGCTGGTGAAAGGTGTTTGTCTACTGGGTGTCTTACATAGTAAAATGAGGAGTCAGTAGTTCATTAATACTGAATACTAATTGCATATAAAACAGTTGTTTCCTGTATCCATTAAAAGCTGTTTAGCATTAAAAAAGAGAATGCAACATTTGTGAGTATGTAATTATATAGAGCATAATAAACTAATCACATCACACAGTCGGATGAGCAGAGATTTTGCAGAATTACTTGTTCAAAATAATTTGGCAAATGGTTCATGTGAGCTGTTTTAGCTTACATACTTACAGTCAGGAACTGTCTTCCGTATCAGTTGCTTTGATAAATAACTGCTTGTAATTCATTATGCTGACTGATTAGTTTACCATTTCCTACAAATTACACACTATAGATTCTGCTCCCCAGCCTTCCAAAATGGCTGTGTGAACCCATACATATATTCATAATATCCAATAATTGACAAATATTTGTTTAAAAATGCATACTTCAACTGTGCACAGAATTTTCATCTCAGCTATCTCAGAATTTCGCCTTTGGTCCTACTGAGCAAAATTACTGTACATACTCTGAAGCAGCAGGGATTTTAGCATTGCTTGACTAAAAGCAGAAACATCCCTTATGCAAATGCCAGCCAGCTGTGAAGCGGAGCTCCTTGGTGAGGTCATGTTCTTCCTTGTCGGTTGTTTGCCCAGCTACACTTCGCCACCATAGGGCATGCCAGGGGAGAGCCAGAGCGGGAGGATGACGGGAGAGGTGAGATGCGGGGGACATGTGGCTCTGCTGCACAGCACAGGGGCTGCTCTTCAGCGCTGGAGGAATCAGAAAGATGGTAACGTGCTTGATGACCGCTGGAGGTGCGCGCTTTGCCAGTACCACGACGACGGAGGAGTGGAGTGGGAAGTAGGGGTTAATGGAAGAACAGAAGATGGGCTCAACAGACCCACCTTCATACATAACTTAATTAATCCTGCCTTAGAGGTGCAAACTTGCTTAACATCATTCGGGTAAACACTGAACTGCTTAGCTTTTTAGTATGTCCTGAGGACTTTCTATTTAAAGCTAAATGATTACTTCAGTAATTTTTCAGTCTCGGAGCAGAGAAAATAAAAGGAAATCCCACTGTATTTGAGGAATAAAGGAGTTCAAGTACTCATATTCTGCCATGACTGCATCTGTGATTTCTGCTTTGCTGGGAGGCAATTTTTACCAGTATGTAAAAATTTATGAATTCATGACATGTAATCTGTTTTTTTCTCTACTCCTTGAACTCATGGAAAATGTAAAAATTAAAACAGAAATTTTCACCATTTAAAATACGAAGGTTTTAACAGATTAATCAGTCAGTTTAACATGAAGTGGAGTAACTGAGCTTCACAACATGCTCTGGAGGGCCAAAACCTGCTGCTGGGTGACCCAAATCCAAAGCTTGGGAAAGGGAAGCTCAGGCACTGGACATAAGACACCAGCTGAACCTCATCCCATGGAAACTGGCAGAGCTCAGTGGACCTACAGATGCGCAGTTGCTCATTGCAGAAGTATCAGACTTATTAATTTTTTAGATTGCTGCCTTAGCTCAAATATAGTGGAAGTCGGATTCCTCACTGGTGACTTCCGTATCCAAAAAGTTTTTACATGTCTGGGGATTTTACTCTTAATGTGGAAAAATAGCTCTGAATGTTAAGATGCCTCTTTCATTCAATAGTAATACATTTTGCAGGAAGTGTAATGATGCAATTGACTCAGCCATAATGAGAAATAAAGAATATTTGTTCAGGCACCGCACTGTCCTAATGTGTGATTCATGATTCAGGTTAGAGGTCATTTGAATCACCTTCTATAATGGCTGGGTTTTATGTCTCCATTGACCATAGAGAGAGCTTTTAGGGATCAGATTCTATCTTAGGCAATTCATTTGGGTAGAACAAAACATACAGAAAGTTTTCTCCTCTGCTCAAGGAGGCATTTCTGATCGGTAGGGCAGTCATCCTCACCCCTCAGTAAGACCGCACAGCTCTGCACCGCCAGACACCTGCTGTGTCTCCAGGTGGCCCTGCTGCCACAGGTATGCGTAGGCTCCCCTCCTGCAGATCCTCCGCACAGCTCCAGGAATTGCCGTCCCTCCTCTTTGCTGAAGGAAATGCTGGAAGACTGATTTTCATCCTGGGTGGCATGTGGCAAATAATTAACACGGTTTTCTGACTCGTCAGAATATTACACCTTTATGTCGGGAATGTATACTGAAAAAGGAGAATGAAATGTCAAACACACCCCCTTTATAAGATAAAATTAAACAGTCATAAGATGATGCAATGGGACCACCACAGTGCTAGATGTGTATTTATGAGGGTGTTCTAGAAGTATACAGACATTTACAGGGCTATGTGGTTAAACAGTGTACTTATTTTCCTACTATTCTTTTTTTTCAAAAATCTAAGCATATGCATGCAAAATGACATTAACACTGCCGTGACAGAAAGTCACCAAACTCTGGAAAAAGGCAAATGTGTGTTACATATTCTTTTGTCTTGTTGTTTGCATTCATTTTTATTCCAGAGAAGTAGAAACAAGTGCAGAATATATACTGTGGAGTAAAGCACCCTGAAGGCATTTATACAGACCTATCCCCTTACTGTTCATTGCACTGCGAAGCAAATGGAAAGATGAGATTCCTCAGCGAATGCAAAACAAGAGGCAGAAACATAATCTCATCTTTTCTCAGCAAGCAGGCAAATCTCTTGCACCATTCTCTAGTGCTGGAATTAATCAGCTTCTGAATAATATGTTCAGACTGCTTGGTGAGATGATTCTGAGTTAGAAGTCCTTGAGAAGCCACTCTGCAAGTGGATGAAGGAAAGAAAAGACGATATGGGGCATGCTGTACACCAGTTCAAGGCTCTATTTTGGAAGAATTGGCTCTGCCGTGTGAGGCAACCGGTGAGTTTTTGGAAATGATAAAAAAAGGAATATTTTAAATCTTCTTTTAATAT